CGCAGCTGCGCCCGGCACCGGCGGCCTGCAGAAAGCCCCAGCGCCCAGCAACTCGGACGGGCCGCGACCGCTGGCGCCCGCCGCAAAGAAACCGAACTCCCGCTGGTTTTTTGGGGGCCGCGCGCGTACGCGCTCTCGAGCGCTCTGCTCTCCTTTTCCGCTTCTTAGCCATCTACGCGAGCGACCGCTCAGAAGCGAGGCGTCTGGCCTCCTCACTCCAAGGTCTCTGGGAACAGCCGCCTCTTAGACGGCGGGCAGAGACCTTTCTGGTCATCTGCCTCTGATTGCTGCCCCTGAAGAAAACGAGTAGAAAAATTATTTGCAGCCCTGGCTTAACTCTAGGTTAGGAGAGAGGCTTGTTTTTTGTTTTTTTAAATAACACAAGGCTCCGATACTGAGTCTCTCACTTCCCGTATGCAGCGGTGTCCCTGTCTGTCTGGTGGTTTTGTGTTAAAAAAGACCTGTGTCGTTTTAGCAGTGATTCTTCTCCTCTCCGAGCTGTGGCCAAGCGGGGCCATCACCGGGGCCTGCCCCCACCCCCGTGCCCTTCACCCCTGCCCTGCCCGAGGGCTCCCCTGAAGGCTCTTCACCGCCTGCCTCTCACCCAGGGATTTTGGATTTCTGAGCAGGTCTAACAAGAGACCTGTACGTAACCGGTTTCCTTTTTATCTCGGTTACTTATCCCATTGCTGCAGTGTGCGAGCATCTCCTCCATTTTTTCTGCAATTGGGATCACTAAAACACACTTGGCTAAGGGCTTCTCTCGCCGACTCCTCAGCAGATTTAGTCAGAGCAGGTCGGAGCTGTTTGCTTGCTTTCTGATGCAAACTGCGCTGAGCTTATTAAACCTGTTCTCCACGGATTGCCTTAGCTTATTTAAGACTTAAAAATCTCTTGGATTTATGCCCCGAGTACCTTGGGTACTCAGCCATTGGCCTTTCCTTAGGTATCACCCAGAGACCTAGGACAAACCGTCCAGCACCGAAATCTGATGAACAGGTGTGGGAAGGGAGAACAGCCTTATTTCATTGTTTCCTTTTTTTTTCTTTCTTTTTTTTTTTTTTTAACTTTTATTAGTTCCACAGAATGAGAAGGATGATTTTTCCGAGAAGAAGAAAAGCTCCTGCTTTCACCCTGCCCTTTCCGCAGGAGACGAGCGCAGCGCAGCCTTCAGTAGCAGCCAGAACACTTCGCATTCGCCACATGCCAATTTGATTAGGAAGCATCTGACACACGTGCCAGAAATTTTGCAGGAGGAATGTACACTGAAGAACATTGAAGAGAGGGGAAAAAAACAGACGAGGGCTTATTCCAGTTAAGTCTCTGCTTGTTGTTGCTGCTGCTGTTGTTTTTTTGGTGGAAGTCCTTAAAGGCCTTCAGGCAAACCAAAGGAAAACTTAAAAACGTCACTAATAACCTACCGCAGAGAAAAACCAAACACACCATTAGGCATACGAAGTGTTTCAGCTCTATTTCCCCTTGGGTAATGCCATTCCTATTGTGTAATGCGAGACGACTTCTTAAATAAAATATAGGTAGCCTTATTATACTTCTGTGACATAAGGAGCACTGTCCTTCTCTAACAGATGAAAGTGGCAAGGCATAGAGGTTACTGCTGAACTTTTAGAGGTTTTTAAGCAAGGTTTTAACTTGCTGGCGGAGGGGGATGGGATGTCTCAAACGAATCTCAGAGAGTGGCCCTGTTTTTCAGATGTGCTTCTTTTGGCATCGAGGCACCCTGAAAGGCCAAGCCTCGCTTGAGCTGCCCCATAACGTGGGCAGACCCGCAGAAAACGAGGGCTACGTAGGATGCAGCCTTCGCTCCATCCTTCCTCTTCTATTCGGGCACATCCGATTTTCAAACGTTAACTAGGCAGAGCTGCTTCAAATGCTATTGTTGTAACGCAGGGAACGTCTGCAATCTGTACCTGCTTCTCTCCCTTTGCTGCAGAGAAAGCAGAACCCTTTGCACGGGCCCAAGCAGTAGCGCAGATGCTGCTGGCTGCAGAGCGCTTCAAGATCCACACGAGAGTCTCCTTCACAAACACTATAGCCATGGCAACAACGCTCCAGCTTCTCCTGGAGAAAGGAAATTCAGCTTTAAATGCAATTCCATACATTTAGGTTGGTAGTGCAGTATCGCTCACAACTCGTTCGCCGTTCTTCCCTCGTGGTGCCAAAGATGGTCTAGAGCAACGCTGCTTACGTCCTCAAGCACACGAGCAGGGGCAGCTTGCAACGGCATGACATAAGCATTCCCGAGGCTTTTTTTAGCACAGGACACAATTTTCCTCCCTTCGCCACAGTATCCCCGTGTACCCTTTGAAGCACTGCGCTCCGCCGCGGGACCTCTGGGGTCCTGGTGCACAGCCCCAGCGGCAGGACCACAGCCGGCTGCGAGAGGCACAGCCGAGCCGGGAGCAGTGCAGGATTCAGCCTGAAACAGATAACGCAAGTCGCCTTTGGTCGGAGCCCGCAACTCCCAGACGGACTTTCCCTTAATTGTCAGGCGCCTGTCAGCCAGCTGGAGAGTGCACCGCGCATCCAGATAAAACCTGGCAGGATGACAGGCTGTGAGCCACAGCAAGTACCCGGCAGGCTGCGGGAAAGGTAAAGGTCTCCGCAAATGAGGCTGGATAGGGAATCAGTAGTGACAAGGTACAAATTTCTGCATGAAAACAAGATGGTAATTTTTATTTGTAGGCACCAGCATATGAGATAGCTGTCTGCATCGCTCATGCAGACAGCGTGCAGCAGCACAGGCAGGCAGTAACATGCGTCGGGAGTACTCTTGGGCTGAAATGGCTATGGAAAGAAAACAACACTTAAGCGTAAGTGACTGGGGGACTTTAACCCTCAAATACTGCCCGAGAGCTGCCTAGTAGGATATTACCTGTGAGCGTGGGCAATCTCACAGCCAAGCAGCTGGTGCTTCCCCAGTTTCTGGGAGCAGCCAAAAGAACAGGTTTTATAGAGGTGGAAAAAGTAAGTAGCTACGACACACCAACTTGGGAGCTCAACAACAGGAGGCTCTGGGCAGCTGAGGTGCGCTCCAAGCCCGAGGGGACTGGTCTGCCTTTTCAGAAGGGTTTAGCCACATAACAGCCCTAAAACGACTGCACCTCCATCCATTTCTTTTAACCTTCTCCCACTCTCTTTTCCCTTACCTTCTGCCTCATCGTTGAGGCAGAGATATGTACCTCCTATACTCCTTATTTACAAAATAGGGAACAGAGACAGGATGCGTCCAAAATCACTCAGCAAGGAAGAAGTGGCAGAGCCACGATGTCAGCTGACTCGTGAATATGGGACTGACTTTGGTCCAGACACCAAAGCCCCACTCACCAGCCTTTCATTTCAGCAAAGAACAAACTGTTTTGCTCAGAGCTGACTGCCCTCGCTTTCAGAATTGGCACCTTTCAATCATTCCGAAAATAATAAACTACCACATTTTAATTTCATTTCCACTGGAAAAGACAAAGATTTCCATTGCTCTTTTAGCAATTTCATTCCACATCAGCAATACAAAGTTATACTTAAATCTTATGCAAGTGGCTTATTGAATCATAGGCAGTAGTTCTATGCAGTACAGGAGGAAAAAAAAAAAAGCAGTGAAGATCTATCTTAAATCTGTTCAAATACAGTGAAGAACTAGGATTTGAAATGCATAAAACACTTATCTTGAAGATGCAGTCTCCCACATTATTCTGGTACACTTAACGTTTTCCCCTTAAAGACTGTAACGAACCAAGCTTAGTCAAAAGGAGCTTAGTCAAAAGGAGCTACAAGGCCTTGTTAGACAAAACATTCAGGATGCATCACAAAGTGTTTGCTATATAAAAACAAAGTGTAACAAAAGTAAAATGTCTACACATTTAAGTGTCCATTTCTTAAAGTAGCAGCATATTTCATAGAGGGCCTTTCATAATATATTGGTTTCATAATAATGACAAGTATTCCTCATTTACTTATATTTTTCAGTATCAGCCACAAGATGTGAAGAGCTGTACCCTCTTAACGGAAGATGATACATGCCTGGCAGAGCTCAAAAAATAAAGACAAAAACAGTTAAGGGTGGTGGAAAGTAGCATCTTGTACCTCTAAGCAGGCACAGTGACAGTTGTCTTGATATGCAGCATGTGTCCCCCAGTACTTAATTAACATGCCTTCTCAGAGAAGTTTATCATTAGTTTTGTCAAAAGAAGAGTTTCTCTTCCTTAACAGAGTAAGGGAAAGAACATCACTTCTGCTTTATTCTAATCATCACCTGTCTTTACACAGCTTTTCCCACCATCACAAGGGCTCTAGTTTCTCTTTCATCCTTTCCCTCCTCCATATCTCTCGCTGTTGCCTGTATGTAGACTCCTGGAAAATTCTCTCCACTTGTTTTGCAAAGCCAGGACTGTCTTCTTCCAGGGCATTAATAGCCTGCAAGGCAAAAGGAGTCTTCTCCCGGGGAAGCGGGTTATTCAGCGGCCTCACAGGTATCACAGAGTTGTATTTATGCCGTTTGTTAAGAGCATTGACAAGGCAGGTGTAAGACTGAAACTCACACCAAGGACCGTTCAGGAAACTTTCTGTCAGTAGTATAATAGTCCATGCTGAGCCATTCACAGCATCACTTAAATTTTCCAAGATATGTTTACCACAAGGCATCTCAGCAAAGATTATTCCAGGTTTAATACAAAATTTGTTCTGCAGCAGGTTCTGGATCCGGATGGCTTCATCTACATCATTCTCAGCATGCAGAATCACAAACTTATAGAAAACACCCTCAATATTCTCATTACCGCTGCAAACTCCTGGAGATCCGCTTGCAGGCTCCCTGATTTCAGCAGAGAGGCCACATAATTCATTAACTTGCTCGGAATCTCTCTGACCTGTACTCATATTCTTAGCCTTTTTGCCGCTATCTGGTGAAAGATTTGGTTTGGAGTTAGTACTGCCCATTATGACAAACACACATCCAAAAATGATTTGCTGACACGATTAACATTTGTTTTTCCATTCTAAAAAATAAAAGTAAAAAAAAAAAAGAGAAAGCAAAAAAGACACTAAATCTTAGGACAATGCAAAAAAATTTCTTGTCATTTTTGAAATAACACAAACCAGTTTGACTGGAGGAAGCTATTATTCATGCTAATGAAAGAAAGCAGAAACGCTGAGAGAAAAGCTGATACGTCCTTTTATAGAAACTAGTAATTAAGACACCGCACTAACAAAACCTGCCAAAACCCAAACACACGATTTTTAGCTTTACGCACAAAGAGCATGCAAGTACAACTCTCTCGTAAGAGTACATCTGGAGAATGACGTATACCTCCAAACCAAAAAGGCAACACCAAAGTGATGACTCAAAAAGAAAAAGCAAAGTCAATATACTGCATAGTATGCTGTACAATGTATTGATACTCTTTTAATGGATGTGGCCAAAATATACCAAATCCTGCAAAATGCAGAACATAACTATGATCAATCAAATATAAAGTATTTGTATAAATACCACGAATAAACATATGCTTTATTGAAGTTCAAAATGTGTTCCATAAATGAGCTGAAGAGACATGTGCAGCCATATGGCAGAAGTGGGATCAGACCTAAAGCAGGGAAAAGATGCTAGCTCATTTAAGTGGTAACTGGAGTAAGCTTACGTGATAAAAAGAAATATTATGCATGTGGCCTGTGATAGGAAAAGAGCAGTGATTAAGGAAGTCAAAGAAATTGCCTCAGATCAGGGCTACAGGGAGAAAAACAAAGTATTGCAAATTTAGGGTGATCCAACGCCCATGAACAGGAACAATAACATTAAGAAAGAAAGAAAAATATTGAATACCAGGAAAAAACTGTTTAGGGTGAGGAAAGTATTTGTGTCATATTAGTCTGAAAAGGACAGTCACGTTCTCATTAAGAGAACCAATGTATATGGAAGGATGCTTCTGCATCCTCCTCCCTTCTTTTCAGTGTAACATTTCATAATGAGTTTTTAAAAGTTGCACTCAAGCATATAAAGTAGGGAACACTTCCTTTTCTAAATACAATCTGCAACTAAACTCAATAATTATTGAAGATAATTAGCGATCAATCCAATACAGCTAATATTTTCATTATATGTTTTATTAGGCTTTTCAAGCCTACGGTTTGACATGACATCGGGAAAAAAACTGGTAACGTTAATCTTTTTAAAATTAGGAAATAAGAATAACAAACACTGAAGAATAAGGAATCAGACCATTTTGCACATTCTTTTTGTACTATAACATAAAAAAGTAGCTAAGTTTTCATTTTGAACTGGACAAGACAAGCAACTTTATCTTTGAGCATTTCAGAAAAGATATGCCACCATACAGGCACATACCAACATTAGTAAATCTTGCTTAAACATAAAGTGATTGTTCTGACCTTAGCGCAGTCACACTGCTCACGTACCAAAGAAAACAGTTGAGAGATTAACAAATCCGTCATGACATGCAAGATCTAGACTATAAATAAACACAAGAAACAACAACGGGCAGTCATTTTTTCCCCCAGTCTTTTCCACATGTAGTTTCTCCTAAGGGTACGTGGCTGAATGTTTATGTTAGCACAATATCATTGGCTCTTTCTGTGTTGCTATTCAAAAAAAAAAAAAATTGGCCCAGGAGAGTAGCACACTTCCATTAAAATTTTTCTCATCAAGCAGTGGGAATTCAAGCAGTTTTTAAGTAGTCACGGCCATCGACTATAGACTTACCTTTTTGTAAACGGTTATAGTGCTTGATAAAGCACTACAAAAACTAAAAGATTTATGACAATGACTGAATTATTTTACAATGGTAATTGACAAAAGACGAATGTGTCTGAAAGCCCAGGGGCTATTTTGGAAATTTTTAATTGAGTTGATTTGACCCAGGGTGGTCTTCCAGTTAGCAGCTCCACTGGAACTCAACATTCCTTGTTTTGATAAACAGATACCAACATTAACAAAGCAGGATGGTTTTTTTTGCCGGCACGCATTATTAGACTAACTGATACAGTTGGAAAAATTAGACAAGCTTTTGGGGGTACAAGCCTGAAATTCTGAAGGCGGCTTTGGAAGGCCTGAAGTTTGGCCGTTTTTCCTACCGTACCAGTTATGCAATAGAAGATATTACTTGTTCCAGCAACCCATGTCCCACCTTCGTCCTTAGGCCATGATGGTTATGGTAAAACATCATTCTGACAAAGGCGCAAGACAATAACAATTTAACAATAACGCAACAGTTGATTTTACTAATCAGATTAGCTGCTACCCCCTGGGCTGTTTGCTTGGAAACGTAATATCAAGAAAAAGATCAGTTCACTACAAACAAAACGGTGGGTCCAATCCCTAACGTTTATAAACTGAAATGCAAAAGGCTATTTTCCACACCATTTAAGTGCTTCCTGTTCATCAACATACTCGATAAGCCTAAAACTTGCTTTTGTGCCTTGGTAATTTGCTTCTTTTCCACACCATATGCAAGGCCTTCTTAACATTTGCTTGGTGCTAATTTGGAACACTCGTGAAGAGGAATGCATATAAGCTACACAGATACAACACAAGAAAAATACACTATCTGGCTTATCGACCTTGACATAAAAGACAGATGAATTGTTCTCGCGCTGTGTGAAAGCCTGTGCATACGCACAGACACACATACACACACCAGCTACTACACTCGTACAATGGTAGAAGCCTCTCTTTTTTCTTGGCAGTACTGGAACACATTTCACCTTTGCTGAACAGCACCACCTTGCGACACACATATGCAAAACTACATATAATTATATGCCTTCATATTCCTGCCATACTTAATAGAACTAATACACAGCGACTAGGATTCATTCTGTTCCCATGAGCAGTAGATCCCCTCCTGAACGGTTCTGTTCACGTTTACTTCAGCTTTGCCCCATTTCATTTGCACTCACATCTGAAGCACGGACAATCGATCCATGATCTATCAGCTCCCGAACCACCGGCACAGTAGGGTAAATGGGACTCCGGATTTGATAAACGTGGTTTGTTTTGGAAGGACTGCTTGTGTTGTTAGTTACAATGCTGATGTACTAATTCCTAATACGGTTAGAGGCTAACCTGTCTTTCCTGCTGGGGCTGAGGTGAAATGCAGAAGCAATGCAATCCATATGCCTCATCTATTGAGATGATGCCATGGGATTTTTGAATTTTAAGAAATGCCAGAGAAAGCTCCAAGCAATAGACAGGAAGGCTTTATGTAGGCTGGTAAATGAAAAGAAACAGACTAGGAATAAAAATCGGTAAATCCACATCCATACCCTTTGGGGAGGCAGTGATTTTGTCCAAGAACCAAAAATGAAGTTTTATTATAATTCACTTTTTCTTTGCAGCACAGCACAATAATGAAGAGTGCTTCCATGAAGAATTAATGTAATTTCCTCTTCTCTCAGAGGCCGTATTTTAGAACATTGCAACCTTTTAAATAAGGGCCAAGCTGGCATTATGTCATTCCCTCACTACTGCCAGGGATTATACTTCATCTTTTTAAACACAGGAGAGAGAAATGTTTTCTGTTTTGCACAGGACAAAATGACAACATTACATCTTTTCATGACATGAGTATACCCGCCCGATACTTGGATCACTGGATTTTTGGTGTGGTGCGAATGTTTGTTTGTAGAGAGAAGAGAAAAAGAGCTAAGAAGGTTATGAGTTAAAGAAAGGAAGAACCTGATCACTCTTGTCTCAGTGGAACTCAGACCTTGCAGGCTCAAGCATAAATGTAAGACATGTTTTCAAAAAGCCTTTCCTGATTACTCATGCTCTTACAAATAAACCAAGAAAATCTTACATAAAAGAATTAACTCTTCCAGCTAGAAGAAAAAAATCTATTTTAACATTTATGGTTTTCTTCCCTTCACCTCCTCTGCATAGATAGGGTGGTGGTAAGCTCACAAATGCAAACCCACATCAAAAATAGTCACATTTTCTTTTCCAGATGAAAGATGAAAATCGGTTTTCTGAAGACAAACATCCCCAGAGAGCACAAGAGCAAAAGGATTCACAGACCAATCTACTGTGGATTTGCTTGACACAAGAGACATGGTCAGTAATGGGAGCCGCCACCTGTGCTGCACTGCCAGGCTTTGGTAACTCACCCCAAACTACCCAGGGACATGTGACAGAGCAGGAGCACAGTCCTCAAGGAGCATGCACAGTGAAGCTCCTACAGCTATTTAACAGTTGCCCAACACAGCTGTGAAGATCAGGACAAGGAACGCAGCTGCTCCACTGCAACCTTACCTCTTCCATAAATAGGGGAGGAGTGAACTGACAAACCCACATCATTCACAGCACCAAAGGCTCTATGGCTCGAGCAGAAATCATCTTTTAGGTAATTGTTTACAGGCCAGGGGTTGCTGGTCCAAGCTGGAGAGCTCGCTGTGCTAAGCTCTGTGCAAGATATGTAACAACAAAGCAGCTTCTGTCTCCAAAAATGAGCCAGTGTAAGTTGTGACAAAACGCAACAGCTGGATGACACCAGCAGGCTGTCAGCGCAATGTCCTTTGCGCTATCCTTGCATTTCTGCCAGCACAATCAGCCCTCAGTTTTCCGGGCTGTGGAGACGCTTGGCTCCAAGGAGCTAACATGAGTCAGAAGTAGAATAACTGCATTCACACAGTAACGCGCCACGAGGCCTTACCAGCTCATTTCACTGATATCTCAGGAATTCCTGAACCTCAAAACTCAAGCCTTACCTTTCTTGTCACCATTACTCCCTCACTGTATGTTCTTAAAGCAACATTTGAGTACAATTTGCATTATCCTATAGTTTTACTTTACCCATTTTACTCCAACACCCGTTACTGCAGTCTAACTGAGAACCGACTATACTTAACATTGAAGATATGATGATGTGACAGGCCCTTTCTGACTTAACAGGGGTTGCCAGCAATTTAGGAATACACCTTAACACTAATGAACAGATTACGCTACTCTCTAAGTAGCTCCTCTTCTTCTAAAAGTCAAGATAGAGGCATCAAGTCTCACAAAATTAATTCCCTGATACCTTCAGAACTCTGACTGGCCCCAAAGGCATGCCTGTCAGGAAACTAAAATCGGATGGTTTACACAACCAAGGGAACGTGGTCCTTCGTGGGACAGGGACATCCGATCTGCTCTCTGAATCAATCGTGTCAGCCCAGCATATTAAAGCACTTTCAGTTCACTGTATCAAACCGAAAACTGTGGTGACTGAAGAACTGCTCGAGTCCAACACCCCTCCTGACGGAAGGCCAAGTCCTATCCGAGGGCCAGGGAGGGTGACAGCTGAGGGTGGTAATAGCACCAGTTGCCCGATTTCTGTCTGCCACTGCACATCTGCTACAGCCCCAAGTGAACCCAGCTGCAGGTCAACTGTACACAATATTTGTCACTTCCTGACACGTATTTACCCACTAAAAAAGCCGGTATTGTCTATATCCCCGTTAGGCCTGGTCCACAAATTAAAGGCTTCACACAGAAATATTTGATTTTGCTTCAAAGAATCAGTTTGAGCACAGACTACTCTGTCAGCTCTCGCAGAACAATCCCACTGTTCAGGATCTCATCAATATATCCTTTCATAACCCCTCAATAGCCTTCCAACAGTTTTGATTAATATGGTTCAGCACATTCCCATATGCCATCTCGTACCAGAAACTCCATGTACTTGAGTAATTATTTTAATAACAGTTAAAACCCATTTGTTTCCCATGGAACGTAGCCTTGGATGACAACATCATATTCAAGCACAAACATTTTTCCTGCAAGAGTCCTGCTACTCCCTATTTTCTCATATTGCCCCCTTACCTTCTGGCACTCCTACAGAGAGCTCCACAGCTTTCTGCCCCTGTAAGACATTGCACGTAACAGAATATTACACACAGGTATCATCCTCTATTTGCATTGTTCAAACAAGACTTCTGCATTTTATATTATTTTTAATCTTTAAAATTCATGATGTTTTTTGATCAGGCAAGCTTGCTCTTCTCTTACAGCCGTAGTTTTTCCTACTCAAAGACATGCAAGATATCTTTCTTCTTAATATGATTTTTTCAGGAAAAAAGCCTCAAGGCTGATGCTGTTCTGGTTTTGTATAGTTTTTTAGAAAGAAAAGCAAAAAATCTGAAAAAAATATTGTCCTTAATATTACCATGAACCTTTTGCCTCATTTTTGAGGTCTGACCTCTCCAAGTGCATATCACTGTAAGACCCTCGCAGCTGTCACCGTTTTTGATACACAAAACCCAATTTACCAGACTGAAGTTGCCACACAATTAAACCCATATCCTAGTAGCTCAGCTACTAGGTACAGCAGCAATTGCACTTGCAAATAACACATTTCCCTCCCTCTCTTCTTTTAACTGCCTGTTATCAAAATCTGGTAAGGGAAGGGAAATAGCACAGGCTCTGCGATACAGTGAAGCAACAGCTGTTCTTTGCGTCCCGCAGCAATGCAGTAGCAACATCCACAGCGCTGCACAGTTATCCCTGCGGATTTGTCTGGTTAGCAGGAGTTACAAACTGGCACTCTCTAATCCTCTTACTCAACCACAGCATAACATAGGAGTCAACTCTAGCAGAGAGGGGATTCACCCAAGCATCTCGGGAAGAGAGAGACAGGGTAGGGGAAAGTCCGAGCACAGGGTTTTGGCATTATAGTTATTTCCGTTACCGTAAAACCAAACCTCAAGAAAATGGGCAAGTCCGAGCTAGTATAAACTTTATTTTGTTTGGAGAGGGTATTGAAGAGGAAAAATATATTTTGTTACAAAAATTCTCCGTGTCATCTCAAAACAAAAACACTCCTCTCTCCCCCAGTTTTCCCAGCAGTTGTTCCATTTAGTAAAGTATTAGAAAGACGCACTTCTTCGTTGCTCAGACGTTTTCCAAAAGCTAGGCAGCAGTAAATGTCCCAATTGCTTTAAATGCAATTATGTCTATATTTTCAGAATTAAGAAGTCTGGCTTCCATTTTGAACTTTAGATCATTATGGTTAATGTTCAAGAGGAAAAGTCAAAACCAGCACAATCACTACGGACTCCAGCATCTGGCATTGAACAGGGCACTTTTAGCACGCTGTAGATAAAACCATACTCATTCAGATATGAAACAGAAGACACAAAATGAGGAAAAATAGCACAAGCCCTCAAGAAAAATATTTAACAACTCCTAAAACTCTCATTAGCGTATCCCTTCTTCTGTGCCTTAAGCAGTGAGAGCAAGCATAAAAACGCACGCTGTAGAGCATCATTAAGTGACATACCTTCTCACACCTGTATCTCAGCCAGCAGCGAAGGTTTTGCTGTACTCGGGCAGATCCTCATGGAAGCAATGAGTAGAGCACAGCGTTCACAGCTGTCTATATATAAATACAGTTATAAAATACACATACATAAAATATATTTTTATAATGCATACTCATACGTATATATTAAGAGAATACACATATATATTAAGATACATTAAGAGGAGACAAATTATTCACACTCTCTGAATCATAAGGCCCCCAAAGGACTTCTTAGTCATCCCTCTCCATCCACCTCCTGGATGAAAATCAGTTTGTAAAGCACGGCAGGGTAGTTTTGCGTGTTCCCATTTGCATTCCTGAGGCTCTTATGTCGTGGCTTACAAAAGACTACGGCGAGAACGATTTTGCAAGGCATTCGCCAGTGCTAAATCCGCACTTCATATCGGGACAGCGCGGACAGCAGGGAAGGTACGCAGGGAAATAAGGCGGGTGCCACAAGCGCCGCGCGCCAGCGGCAGAAAGCCCAGCTTAGCGCGTGGTGGCACGCAGCCCCAGCCGGGGGCCCCCCGCCTGCGCCCCGCCGCCCCGGGGAAAAGGGGAAGGAGAAGAAAAAAAAAAGCCCATAATACCTTTGAGGAAAAACGATTTCAGGGGTCCACTGGCTGCCAAAGAGGCATCACGAGAGTCATCGTGGGAGGAAACAGCTAAACAGAGGAGGCGATATGACACCATGTGCTATCAAAAGCAAGCATCACACTGCTCAAAGATCCGGAACCAAAGCTAAGCTTTATCAGCTGAATTTAGCACCGAAAAAGTTAGAAGTTAACCACAGTCAATGAGCACGGAAAGCTGGAAGAGCCTTTGAAAAACAACACAATTTTAAAAATCTCAGGCCGCTTACCTTCCCAGGCACAGTCAGATTAACTCATCCCACTTACTTCAGGAACCTTAGGGCAGCACAGCTTGCTAGAAAAAGCATTTGTAAGAGGTCATGACAACATTAACATACAGTCCTAAATAACCAATTTCAGTTCATTTTTGTCCATCAAATCTGAGATTTACATGAACAAACAGATTTCTTTTTCCACTTCCCCCAGCACCAATAGGGCTATAGCCATACATAAAACACACTACCTTCCAGTCGTGCACGATGACATCAGGCTATCCACGCAAGCCCCGCTCCTTTGAGTGGTTTCGAACAACGACTATAAATTTGAATTTCACAGGGCAGTTCCTTGACAGCACGTCAAGCTTGCTTTGCTTCAGAGGTGCAGAACGCAAGCTGCAAAACCCATGCTGCTTACTTGGGAAACAGCATCCCTTTCACATGAGGAACCTACTCCAGTCGCACAGCAAGCCCAGCAGGTTTTTTTTTTTTTTTTTTTTTTTAAGAGGAACCTGGCCTTGGACACCAGCTTTTCCACACTGTGTTATGCTCTAACTCCCCGCTGAACTGAAGGGCCAGGCTTAAAACCTCTCCTTCAGTAACTGGTGCCTGACTAAGCCAGGAGGAACGGAGGCAGCTGCGACTCTGCTGCACTAAGTCCATCCAGGGAGCTGTTGTCTAAGGGGCAGCAGGGTCCAGAGCACATGTTCCCACTTCCTCCTCCGTAAAGCACTCACAGTCACATGATGAGTCAGCTGATCCTCCGAGTCACCTTTTTATTTTTACTTTCTTTTTTCTTTTTTTCTTTCTTTTTTTTTTTTTAAGTAATTCTTTTTTTGGTAAGATGATCGGTTTTCAGTGTAAACATGCTCCAGACCACCACAACCTGTCTTAAGTGACCTTGCAATCCTGAGCGTCAGGCACTCATAAAAACCCACGCAACTAGCTGACCATAATACTAACACTCCACAGAAATGGTAGAATTTACCCATATTTCTAGACAAAAAGCTTTCTTGAATTCACTTACTGTAAATATTCTTGGAAGACTTTGAATGCAGGACAACCAGTAAAGGAGAGCAAAGAAACAGGAGGAAAAAGCACATTTTGGAAAGTGCCCACATATCAATGCCAGCTATCTAAATCAGATTTCTAAAACTTAAATTTGTCAAAGTGGTACGTGCCAGCATTCAGCAATAAGCTACATAATACAAAATACCTGCAACTACAAATTAAGCTACCACAAGAACTATTTAAAGTTTATATCCCATCATTAGACACCATTATTTCGATAATGGTTTTTGGCTCATCCTGTATTAACCGTGCATCTACAAGAATTAATGTGAACAGATACAGTAGGTTCCACATCATTCCTGGCACCAGGGGTCAAATACTCCAAACTCCACTCCAACAGGAACAGATTTATAAATACTATCGCATGCACTGCAAAAAGCCAGTAACCACACTATCTTGCTCAAACCTGAGTTTTTCCAGTGACCTGAAAGCACAGCTAACCGGGAACAGCAGTGACCTGGTGCACCCCTCAAAGTACAGTGACAGAAGTAACGATCAAGTGTCAGGTGGATTTATGCTTTTGCAAGTAATGTGTTAAGATACATGTCAACTTCTCAAATTGTTATTCAGAGCTTCTTGGAAGAAGAATACTCCCCCACCAAATGCAAACAAAACAAGCAGACAACATTCATATATTAATTTTTATTTTCCCATACAATATTCACAGGGTCTGCTTTTTGTCTTATTCAAACTAAACTTTTTTTTGCAAACTAAAACAAGAACTGACATTTCAGGACATGAAAAGAAGTTCTGTAAACATAAAACATCCAAGGAATAGCTGAAACCCAGGGCCTTTTGCAATTTAAAAACACAGCTGTATCCCATTTAATGCAGGGTGATTTAGTTGTGCATCACACCAGTAAAGGAAACTATTCTTCTCATACATAAAAAGATGTGGCTTTAACCAAAAAAAAAAAATCACAAAGCATTTCTTCACCCACTGTTGAAGTATTAGCATGTGTTTTATTATATCCTATTCAGTAACTTAGTTTAAAAAATATATACAGCTATGTTTAAACATGTGTATTTGTGCCATGTTTTTAATAACACAAAAATAAAGGCATTTTTAATCTATTGCTGCATATTATGCAGCAAGATACCAGAGGATTGGTTCAGATACCTAACTTCAACACAAAAGTCAAGTCCACTAAACCTCTGCAGTGGGAGTAATATCGAGTTAACTGTCCCACTTCACACATTCAAACATTAGGAAAAAATAGACATGTATGTGATGGCCAACCAGTATTTGGTTTACCATTGTTTACCAATTTTGACAGCACACAGAACAACTGATTTGGTGGAAAAAAAAATCATGTTTCACATCTTTAAAACAAATGCTTTTGTTGTGATTAGAGCTACTCACAAGTGATATTCACTCTTCAGAAGATTATAGTGGACACTATCAAAATTATATCATGTTCTCATCCCATACTTGCACCCAAACTGCCCTATTTGCTTCATTTTTCTGTGTAATAAAGCACAAAATCCTGCAGATCAGTTGCTGAAACACACAAGAACAAAGCATATAGGTACAATAGGAGAATACTGTGTGCAGGCACAGATTTATGTCATAAGAAGAAAGCGCTAGCTTTTTTGTTCCAATTTTTGAGAGTCTATTTCTGGGAAGCTTGCATCCCAAAAATGGGACTGCAATCTTTAAAATTCAGTACAAGATAGAAGGATACTAAACATAATCCTGAATTTAATATACATTAAGCTTTTTAATACCCCAGTGACCTTTTAACTATTTTTTGAAGTGTTTTTCTTCAGTTTCTGAAAGAGTAATTGATCAGTTCAGAGACAAGGAATACTTTTTTTAAACTATCACAACATGTTAAAGTCAGGTCATCTTAGATCAATTATTCAGAATGCCCAAGTGTCACCTGTATGTGCACTTCTCAGTTTTTTGCTGGAAATACAGGCAATTAATGAGGATTTAGCATTCTTTCTCTGCTTGCTGAAAGCTAGTTTAAGTAGCATCTTTTCAATTAAGGTCAGTAACACACAACACTTTTCAACTTAGTTTAGTTTGTGTGCACTTAAGAATTAGACAGAGACAGTTTACTGCTCCAGAGCCATCTGAAGGAGTTTAGCCTTATCTTGACTAGCTCAGTTCAAGCTACTTGTATGTACATACATTTACTACCTTCCACATCCAAATAAAACAAGACTTTACAATACATAAGCTACTAAAGACATGAGCAGTGGAAACAACGTAACTACAAATCTACTAAAAAGATACCCTGAAATATTTAAAACATTTCCTGACCACTAGCAAAAAAGAGTGGCAATTAGATGCACAAGGCCATAATGTATCAGTGCACCACACACAGGGTAATAAAATGTACAGCACTCGTGCAATGCAGTATCAATATCAAATTGGCCTCTTAATAGGAAAAGAATTTAGTAAAAAGCTTTGTATGTGCCTAACAGATGTAATGTAACTTTGTCCAGTGCTGGTGCTGTGTTGCTTAACAAACCAAGTTATCTCTGGTCTTAGATCTGAAAAGCAGCAGCAGCATAAATGAGTACAGAGACTATACAGCTTCAGTGACAAAGTTACAAGATTCCCTAATTTACTGCCTTTTTTAAAATACATTTGGAGATTTGGATTTTTGAATACAGAAAGTGGATTTCCTGAGTAGTCTCCGTTTAAACGTTGTTCAATAAAACATTGTAAAAGAGGGAATGTAATATTTTTTTATGTAGAAGAACGTGTGTTTAAGCAAATGCACTCAAGTATAAAATTTAGCAAGTTTTGAAGGTGGAGACTTACCAGGCTGGTGGAGAATTTGTGCCATGATGTAGTGTCAAGCTTGCAATAGTTTTACAAATAAGTAAAGAATACCATTGGATTTTTTTGTTACAGCAAATCAAAACAGTGCAATAAAACATTTTGCAACTACAGTTCATCACATTTGCTTGTTTGTAACCCAATACATTCAGCCTGAAAATTAAAATCGAATCACTTTTTCATACGTATTGTCTTGTGCATCAGACACTAAATCACTGGTTCTTTTGAAGTACTATATCTTAATGGCATAAACTCGCTAGTAATGGGTAATCTTATTGGTAAAGTCAAATTCTGTTTGGATTAAAATTAGTAGAAATACAGAAAGGCTGGTCACTGCCAGATATTTAATACAAGCATCAGAAAATATTAACTTAGTTTTCTTTATATTTCAAACTGGGAGTTCCTTCTGTATTTTTGGGGGGCATGTTCTGTGATTTTAATGGATGAGGAGGGGTAGACATTTAAATGTTGCACATATTTAGTTCCTTTGTACCTACAATCAATCGGAGAACAGTAATTTTACAGATGAATAGCACACAATGACCTGAAGCATTATCACTGCCAGTTATGATCCAACACGGGTTGTGGTGGTTCTTTTATCTGAGAAGAAGCTTTTGAGGAGAAATACCTGCCCGATACTAACTACAAGAAGAATGATTGCTTCTCCTATTGACCAATAGGCTACTCTTGTGTTTAAATCCTCTGCTCTGCTGCGGCCTTGTGCTTCTCTCAACCGGAAATGAGTCTGATAATCGATGACAGACTTCAGAGCTTCATGAATTGAAACACAGGCAGACTCCATCTAGAGAAGTAAACAAATACAGAGCTCTGAATAAAGAACCCTTCTAACACGTTATCTGTCAAGTTTTGTAGTTTGATATTTAACACTAGGATTCACGTAACTTTACAGACTAAAGATCAGCTCAGTCCACTGTCACGCTGAAATATTATAAAATGTAACTTGATTAATCAAATTCTGCACACACCAACGTGATGACTTAAGTATAGAAGCTTGTAAAACTGCAGATGCACTAAGCAGTGACACACTAAGAATCACAACATGAAACTTAAATTCATGTATGCTTAGGTTCAGAAGGCAACATAAGAAACTCTGTACTGAAATACGTCAGTGATCCCTCCTTTGTTAATTCTGCATATACTAGCCAAACAAGCAATACATCTCTTCCCAGATTTAGGTAGCTACTAAGTAATTTACATCATTAAGATATGCATAGTGAACTACATGAGCATGTAATGTACACAAGCATAATGATTTTCACGCATAATTCTCACTTAAACTCAAGTTTTATAAAATCCTGAAGTCTAGACTACGGACATCAACATGTTCTTTGGGCAAGAGAATCTTCTGCTAGTCACGTCTTATGTGAAAAGTGATTAGAGAAAGGACAATTCTGTTACCTTTCAGTGTTCCTGCATGCTATCACATTCATGTAATACACACTTTAAAAACTGTCCAACCTCATTCATCATCTCTCGTAAGAACCACATTTCATGTTCTAAACTGAAAAATTTTAACCTTTTCAACCTCTATGCACTCTTGGCTTTCCAAGTCCTAGATCATTTTTTCACATAAACTTTCTCCATTTTCAGTTTATCCTCTAAGTCAGTACCCATCACTGCCTGTTTTGAGCATTACGAAATTAATGAATATATCTTCAAAATACTGAAGTTTTAGCCAGCTACAGTTAGTTTTGTCCTAAAAGCAGTATTTTCTGAAAAGAAAGCGTCTGACACCCTAAGAAGGTGTCTCAGTCACTTATACCTGTGCCAGATCTGCTTTTCAAGTTGATAACTTTCAAGGAAGGTGTCTGAACAAGTCTAAGATAGTCTTCTGAACAAAATTCAGAAAGAGATTTCTTGCATTAAGTTCTGCCATTGATCTCATCAATAAATTATAGAGCCCTCATACTCTGCAACAGGAATCTTAAATTTAAAGATGAAGTCAGTCTGGTTTCAGGGATTTACCTTTTCCAGTCCCTGTGAAAGTCTGCCCCAAATTTGATCACACTACAAGCCTCAAAGAAAACAGCAATGAGCACCTAATTAGCAAGGATACATTATACTTCCCCTTTCCCCAGAGATCTTATCTGTATTATGTATGAAACAACCCACTGGTTAACTTGATTTTTCTTGTATCCTCTCCCACAGCCCAGGAAGGGCTGCAAAGATGCATGTTCTTTGCTTCCAAAACTCCCTCTATTGGTCACCTGGTGTCAAGGTAGCAAAAAACTCAAACAACAAAAAAGAGAAAAAAGAAAAAAGACAAAACACAACAAAAATAGACAAAAACAAAACAAAAACCTGCCATACAAAACACAGAATGAAGACCAAAGAAAGGACAATAACACAGAAAGGTAAGGTATCAGTAATCAAAAGACAATAAGCAGAGAAGAAAGGTGACAAGAAGAAAGAGAACTGTAACTGAATTCACAGCAGGTCACCTAGTCATTACAAATCTTAGCTACTGCAGACTTACATGGAGTAAATTCAGGTGAGTGAAAGTTGATGGATATTGGCGAAGCAGCATTTATACCTTTAAATTCAGATTAGTAAAACAGTGGCCACACCCAGCATTTTTTAAATGGTTGTTTAAAATTATGTTTGGTGACAGTTATAACGTAAAGAACATGAATAAAAATTCATGGGACAAGGGTTCCAAGGGGAAATTTTGACGGATTTAGTTTGGCCAGAGGTAATGCAAAACCAAAATCCTGAAGAAAGAGGGGAACGTTAGGAGAATAAGTCTGGACTAAGAATAATGCTTTGACATTCAAAGGGTCTTATAAAGAACAAGTAGCTAGAAACCAGCTAAGTATGACTGCTTTTGTTCATTTGGGTTTTACTTGGCTAGAATTTTTTCCATTTCCTCTAAAGTTCAGAAATTTTTAAAACCCCGATCCACTGATATTTTACACTTCATGAAATCCACACTTCCACAGACATAGAACCATAGCATTAAAAGGCAGTTTTCTTAAAAATAAAAATAAAAAAATACAAACACACACACTGGCCTAGACTTTAAGTTACTAATCCTCATTTTCTCTTAAACATTTGGCAACTCCTTCTCATCTCTGCTCTGTGTTCTATAAATCCTACCTTAAGGAAAAGGCTCATTTTCAGTAACTCAGGTTATTTTAAAGACGCTCCAACCCATTAATTTTTAAAAACGATATAGATATCTAGTGCAGTTGAATTGGAAAAACATTCACTCCATCTAACAGTTGCAGTCGAACAACAGCATTTTACCTGGGTAAGCGCAGTTACTCTGTTCTCACTAGGAAACAATGGAGGATCTTCTCCAACCTGGAAATCGAAGTACACAGTTTTGTGTGTGAAAGTAGAGAACTCATTGCTGAAGCAGAATTTGTACGTTCCGTTTCTGGATGCAGTAAACGTGAAACTATCATATTGCTTCTTCATCTCTTTGTACAATACAATGCCATCAGGATCTTCCAACCGACAGTCAACATCATAATGACCTCCAGTGATCACCTGGAAAAAAAACCCCAAGAAGTTGTCTTTTTAACAGAACATACATTTATTCTCACAAGTAAGACTAGTCAAGTGGTATTTCAAGGTTTCTTGGTCTGACAAATATGTTTTAAAACATAATGCATTAATTTGAAAACCTTTCAATGTAAGTTTGCAAAAATCGTTCTTACGGGTCACGCATAGCTCCGAACACTTTTTCTTTACTTCAGTACATTTAGTGTCAGCTACTTTTTCAAACAGTTTGCAAGAGCGATTTTAGGTACTTTGGTTTAGATACCGGTACTACACCAGAGGCTACAGCAGATGAAACTTGACGGGGCAAAGACTTAACCGTAATGAATCAATCATTTCCTATATTCACAAGCCCATCCAGGGGCTGGAATTGATTCAGTAAACGAGATCACTTAAATGCAATAAAACAAACCCTTTCTGTACGACCTAATGGGCACTGCATAATTAGCCTATTAGGTCAAGCTGCTTTATGCTGCAGGAATGGCTTATGTCCAGTAGAACAGGTATTACAGCCTGGCTCATTTTCATACGCGTACGTCAACAGAGTGACGTTCTAGAGGATCTGCTGCCTCACCTATGCACAGTTAACGACCGTTTCCAACAGCAGCACATTCAGATAATGTCTACAAGCGATTTGAGATTGCTTCAACTATTTTCAGGCTTTGATTAGTGCTGGTCTACAGCACATTGCTCTACAGAATCAGACTAGCAATCCTATCTCCAAGGCAAGGCCAACTAGCAGTTCAAAATTTCTTATTTTCATGACCCTCAGGCTAGCAGTTTTAAGTTTAATCCTTGCTCCCAACTTCTTGCCTTCCAGATAAAGCATCCTGAAGGAGGAAAGGACATGCATCCAAAGGCATGGCCCTTCACGTGTGTGGAGAAGCCTTCTAAAATACAGGAGTTTTACCTTCACTTGAAATAACTGAGTATCTATTTGAATATGTAATGCTACAAAGATTTATTCAGAGGTGCCAAGAACCAAAAAACAGACTTCTGATAAGCGCTTGGCATAATATGATTTAAACCTCCATCTGTCTATCTAGGTATCAAATTTTAAGTGTCCAGTTGACAAGTGATATCTTCATATTTTTTCCAAAAATGTGATGACAAGACACAAAGGGCAAATGCATTTAAATAACTGCTTCTCCAATCCGTTATCATCAGGTAGAAACACTGCTTATTACAGCTCCTCTGAACAACCCATTACAAGACTATTTTCAGACTCCTACCGCCTCATCCTTTCAGACTTTATCATATTTGGGTTTCCTACCCTGGATGTCTGCATCTAGTTGGGTTTTTCTTTTTGAGTATTTCATACAGAAATGATTATCTGGTTGCAAAGAAGAACACAGGAATAAAATTTTCTGTAACAAAATAATAGCTCATCTTTGAGGTTTAATCTTAAATTTGACAGGGACAGGCTCTTGACCACTTATATGAAATTCATTCACATATATCACAGACCCTAAAAGGGTCAGCTTACATACACATGGGAAAGACTTGCTTGGAAGTTCCCCTAGCATTCCTTCCCACTGAGCTTGCTTGAGCCTCCCCTCTGCTCTTCTTTCTGACATAGCACCTAAGGACACTGCATCTCAATCTACTAGTAGCAGGACAAAGTAGATTTTCTTTTTAACAGTACCCTTGCTGTTTTGATCCGGGTTAAGACCACCAATGAAAGTAAGAATAGCAGGCGTCTGTCCTGCAATCTCCAATGACATCCAGTTCACAACAGGGAAAAAAATACTGCACAGAAGAGACTTCATGAAAAAACAGCAAGGAACAGGCAGGGATCTGAGAAACAGAGGAGCAGAAAAAAATCCTAACAAAGAGCTGAAACGTGTAGGACAGAGTACAAGGGCTAATATTGGTGGGAACTGAATTGTTCCTGAAAACACTAAAGGTGGGACAGGAGCTAGGAAAGAAATAAATATGGGACTTGAAAGAAAAGAGACAGTCCATTAAAGCATGCAGCCCCTCAAGAGCCCTCAAAGATAAGCATGATTTCCATTAACAAGGACGACTTCTCTAGTGCTGCTACTGCACTACTTGCTGTTAAGGACTTCACCAGCTGAAGTGACAGACTTGAAGCCCGCTGATAAACTCCAGAGGCATCCAAACTACCTGGGCTACTGTTTGCTTTTTAAACATCAGAAAGCTGCACACCACTATCACTATGGCTGCAGCTTCAAAACATTAGAGACCAGGAGAATCAAGAGTAGCTGTGAAACCTCATTTAACACACACATTAGCCATAGCTTTCAAGTGTATTTTAGTTGCTTGCGTATTTTATTTTCCGTAAGACTCCTATCCCCGAGGAGCTCGCTCCCACAGGGGCCGACTCCTGTCCCGAGCCTGGGACACCTAGCTAGTAATTAACTACCCGTTCAATCACTTTGTCACTGTTTGCTGTGTGGCCCCTCCAAACCGTGCTCTGACTTGAGAGGTATCAGTTCCTTACGCTGCACAGTGCTCATCATGCAAATGCTTCACAAGCCACAATTAAATCACTTTCACCGCACCTATTTGGCAGCGGTATTTTTAAGTACTTTAGCTATTTTACAGATGGGGCACTGTACCAGTCACTATGATTGAGGTAGAGATATCACTAGGTTTCACAGCCAGCTTTATACGCTTTGCCTCGTTCCGGACTAAACTCGTGCCTTTCCCAAAATACTCGCTCGTCTGTAAGGTCTCCTCAGTTGAGCGGGCTACTAAGCAGCAACTCCAACCACCGCTCCTGCACGGAGGCGCTCAGAGCACCGGAGGAAAACGAAACGAAGAACGGCCCAGAGCCGGGAGCGCCCCCCGGCGAGAGGGCCCGGCCCGAGGCCGCTGCCCGCCGCC